TCAACAGCTGTTTTACTTTAATTTACATAATAAAGCATGGGATGTACTCTATGCAAGATTACACTTTGTTTGACAATCAAAGAGAAAATAAAGGGTCTCTGAGGTGACATAAATTTGGTTTATTAATGGTTCAGTTCTCAATTTGAACATTAGAAAAAAATTTAGCCTGAATTTCTTTAGTTCTTTCATTATCTGTGTTAAACTTCTCCATCTTGAACAGTCTTTGTACTCTAATGGATTACACCTTATTCTTTGGTGTCCTTTTTTACCTCAGCAAACAGCAAAGAGTGACCTGTGTCTTACTTCTCCTTACAATATCATGCCTTGAATCACACGTTTAGGTCATGAGAAAAAAGGGAATGATCACTTACTTGATAAGCTCTTGATCATTGAACAAATTCTCCTTGACAGCACCACAGGATGTTTATGGAGAACAGTATGGAGGTTATGCATACTGATGTTAGGGTGTAAAGGGTTACTTTTAAATGAGTTAGCACCAAATAATTTCAACTCAGTAGCATCATTTTGTTGTTGTTGTTGTTGTTTTGATAGATCTGGGTTCTTATAGCAACTGAACTCATGGGCCGTGGAATTGACTTCAAAGGAGTGAATCTAGTGATAAATTATGATTTTCCCACATCATCAGTGGCTTATATTCATAGAATAGGTATGAAATATTTTTAAAAACTCTTCATGAAGATCAGTATTTATGTCTGTCAAAGACACCATATTATTTTGTGTTGGCTCCGATTCCCTTCTTTGTTCCGCAACTCTTGTCAGGAAATTTATTTATAAGAGATTAATTTGATAGGCTGATCAGCCAAGTAAATGTTAATGAATCATTGTTAACTTGCCTCTTATTCAGTCTGCTATTAACCCTTTAACTTCCAAAAGTGACTAACGTGTATTTTCTCCCTACGATATCTATATGTTTTCTAGTAAACGGTTGATGAGAAAACTAAAACTTGATCAACTAAATCAAGAAGAAGTTTTTATCTTGATCTTACACCAAATTCTTGCAACTAATTTACAAGGAATTGTGTAGCAGCAAGAGGAGAGAATTAGCAATCAGATCTTGGGAGTTAAAGGGTTAAGGAAAGAAAGTTATTGACCTCTAAACTAGAAGAAGTAATTAGTGGTAAACATGTAACATTAAGATAAAAAATCAGTACATTTTCCAGAAAAAAACCAATATGAACATTCAAACTAATCAACTGGTCAGGTAGAGGGCATTTAGAAGAGAGAACTGCTGATATCATGTCTTGATATCTGACAATGAAATTCACTAGAAATCTGTTCTTGTGTCCTCAGGTAGAACAGGTCGTGCTGGTAGACCAGGAAAGGCTATCACATTTTTTACAGAAGATGATGCCACAAATTTACGCAGGTGTGCGATAAGCATATAGTTTTTCATCAACTTTACAAAAATAATTGGCTTCTTTAAATTCACCTCAGTTTATAATTGTAGAAACTTTTGACTCTCTAACCATAGGAGTGACAAACATTTCATTTCTCCATACAATTTCACCCCAGAGTTGAATATTAAGGTTGCAAGAATAAAGGAAATGACCACCATCTAAAAGGGCTCTTGACTGTTAAACAAATTCTCCCTTTTTGGACTCTTCAGTCTCATCTGAGAATGATGTACATTGGAAACATGTCACTGCATTAGAATAAATTCCCTTCTGGACTTCTTGCCTAGTATCATTAACTGCTAAATATGATTTGGTTTTTGTCATATAGTATTGCAAATGTAATGAAGAGTTCAGGATGTGAAATCCCTGACTGGATGCTGAAGTTAAAAAAGCCAGCCAGGTGAGACTTAGAACTTAAGGAAGATAATACAGTATTCACATTTCATAGGTAGGGGACTGAGGAAAAATTTGGGTCCCCATGAGGACTTGAGACCTTCAGATTATTTCTGTCTGCTGTGTGCATGACTACTGCGATACAGAAAACCCAATGGTGCACTAGGCCATATACTGGGTTCATATGTGGAAAGAGTTCTGCAAAATTGCAGGATCAGCAATGTTGCAAGCAACATGCAGTGGAACCTCTCCTGTGGGACACCTCTATTAAGGGGAAAGGGACACTTTTTCTGGGTCTCAAAGCCCAGTCTGAACCTCCATTCAGGGGATATCTAACCACTCACAACATGACTGACCACAATGATTAAGTGTACACTAAACACAATTGAGACCGCTTTCACAATATCACCTTTTTTATATCTTATACCATATGATGATGAATTTAAATTGGTTGCCAAAGGTTATCAGTCTAGGTGATTGCATCTGGAGTCAAAGCTCCAAACCATAAGTAGTTTAGGGACAGTAACGGTTTGAAATTTTGGCCTAAGTCAACTTTGTATCAATCAGTTCCTTCAAATTATTAGTGGTTAATTATTAAAAACAAACCCCAACCCTACCTCTATTCAGAGGACATTGGCCCTGCTCCAGATGGTGTCCCCTGAATCTAAGTCCCATGTGAACAATTTGCTTCTTTTTGTGTTGAAGGAAATCTCGAAAGAAATTGTCCAAGGCCCCTCCATCACGAACAACAATTAAAACAGTTTCAAAATATGACATGCATATGGCTAAAAGAAAGAGGTAAGATAACTGATACCTTTGTTTCCTCATTTTTCTTAATTAATTTTTTTTTATTCTTTTAACCTGAAGTGATTAACATATAATTTCTCCTTATAATATCCACACATTTATCCAGTAAACAGGTTATGAGAATACTCAAACTTATCAGGTAGAATTTATCTTAATGTCCTTGATCTAACATCCAATTCTTATAAGTAATTTACAAGGAAATGTGCAGCAGCTAGAGGGGAGAATTAACAATTGGATCATGGGAGTTAAACAGTTAATAGTTTGATTTTTTTGTATCATTACTCCAGAAGCTATGACATGATGTATCTACTGTGCTGCTGTTTTGTTTTGTTCTTCTAGGTTAAGTTCTTTTTAAACATCACACTTTCAGTTTATGCATAAGAATTCCTACGAAATGAGTTAAATTGTCAGCAGGAATAAGTTGAACTAGTGTTGCGTTTTGGTAATAAGTCGATACAGATAATATAGTTCTCTAAATTTTCTTTGCAGGGAGTTGATTGAGGCATCCAGGAAAAAAAAGAAGAAAACAATTTTGAAGCAATCTTAGTTAGCTTCATTTTTTAATTTCTTTTTTTATTTTAAATAAAGAGTAAAATTGTGTCGGATCTCTTTTACTGTGAAAGTGAGAGATTAAAATGAAATTATTATTATTATTCTGTAAATTGTACACCAGCCATAAGCCACCTCACCTTCCAGTTTTTTGTCTGCGACTATTTCTTCCTAAGTAAATTGATGTTTCATGGAATGTCAATGTTTGTTGAATCTCCTTTCTGTAGACTGCTTAACTCTGTGGTTTATTGATTGGCTTGGTTATTAGAAAATTGAAGTCGCTAAACCTACTGTACAGAAATCTCAGCTAGCCCAAGTTTATTACTCGCGTACATTGATCTGAATTGGCGGTGTATTTTCATTGTGAAACAGTCGAAGATAGACTACGAGCAATCGCTCCTTTCCGGCGAAGTTAGTCGCGCGGGTCAGAAAAACTTAGTGTGTGTTGCGAGGAGCATTTAAAGTGAGGCGCTCGAAAAGTTTCGAACCTCTCACTCCTAGAGCAGCCCACGGCTTCCTAACATCAATTTATCTTTCACAGAGTTGTTTAGTTTGTTTGTTTGTTTGTTTGTTTTTACTGACTTCGCCTAAAAGGAGAGACTGTCTAGCCCTTAGTAGAATCAGTTGTATGGAGAAAACTGTGGCATTTAGAATACAAACAATTTACAGTTTTGAGCTTTGGAAAAGAAAAAAAACAGACCTTTCTTCTGTCAAACGTTTCTATGTGTCCGGGGTAGTTTTGAGGAGGCTCCAGAAGGTTTTTGCTTGATGTTAGCGCGCGCCAGCGTTACGTTTTTCTATAAATAAATTTTTATGTTTTCGCTTTTCGAGGTCACTAAAAGCCATTAAAAGGCAATGAGCAAGGTTCAAACTATCGTTGGAATTGCTGTAGTAAATATTATTAATAAAAAATGATTTTCGTTATTAAGCTAAGGCTTTATAAAGGGAGACGCTTGCCAGCGATAATTTGGCTTTGCCTTTTATTTTCTTCAATTTGCTTCTCATTTTGAGAAAATTTTCCCGCCGATCATTTAAAAGCCTTGGTAGGTGTTACCAAGGCAGTTTCCTCTTTATTTGCAATTTTGTGTTTTCTTCCTCTATCTAAAATTTGGTCTTACGATTTTTTTTTCAACGGGCACTACGAAGGGCACAAATGTGTTTAACATTTCGGCAAATCTCAGGAAATTCTACTGAACGAAACGCGATAAACCTTACTCGAAAGATCTCTATTTTCTTTGTCGCAAAACATTACGTAATGGAATAGAACTTTTGCTAAGATCGGTATCTGAGCATGCGTAGACTTTCGAATCTGTCTCCCTTTAGCAATCTTGTCCACAGTGTTTTCTTTTCGGTTGACCTCATTTTCAGGCGTAGAAGGCCTATGAATATTACGGATATAGTTGCTAGAGACCGTAGATTCCATCACATAAAAAGTGCATTGTGTTAAACTGTTTGGAACACACCTTTTCCGATGACAATCGTGCGATCGTATCAAGCCGCCATGTTTGTTTTGCATATCTCGCGCGGTCAAAAAACCTTAAAAGCCAGCTGTCAGTTACTGTGGAAAGAGACTAGGACTGGGTTTACAAGTTGTAATTAAAGGTCTTCTCACACAAAAAAATCTTTATTTTTCCCAAATTTTTTTTCACAATAAGATCGAAGGAGATTTTATTCTCTAAGTACTAGCTGCAAAGACTCGCGATCGCTGGCATCATTTCAAATCTAAATTTAACTTTTTTCCTTTCTACATGGCGCTGTTTTGTCAGAGTCGAGGCTGTCCTCTCGCCATCCTGAAATAGAAATATGACGTATATAACGGAGTGCATTGTGGGTCATATTCAAATACCAAACGCACCCATAACACGTTTAGCGAAACGGCGAGGCGAAAGAAGAACAGTTACTCTTCGACGTGGATTTAAAGTTGTTCTGTCCACTTTTTCTCCCACAAAAATCAGAAATTAGCGTTAAAAACGCTATTAGAAGAGCGTGTATGCAATAGAAGGTACTCGGGAAGCCTTCACTCGCGACGATTTACACAGTCGAAACCTATAACGAAACATCATGGCGCCCAACAGGTCTGAGGCAATGACGTTATCAACCAACGCTCCGCCAGCTTCAGATATAGGTACATTTGAAGGAATGCCGCTCAAATTGGAAAAAAAATCAGTATACGCACGATGCAGCTCAGTAAGCTTAGCTGCTGAAGAAGAAAGCGTCCATCAAGTGCAGGATATCGGGAAGGAATACTATCGTTCGATAGCGTTGAATTTTAAGACCACCTCCTCAGTGACGATTCTCAGTCCACATTGGGAAACCTGGCCCGGCGTTTGCGCTGGCCTAGACGAAGATCCAAGGCAAAGGAAAGTAAAACAGCGCGTTGCAATCGAACCTGAGAAAAAGAATTCCAAAGAAGCCGTCGAGAATGACGACAATAGCCATCCCTTTTCACTTCGCTGGCAGCAGAAAGAGGAAATTACTTTCTTTTCACCCAACACCGAAAACAGATGCGAAAAGAAAACGACGAAAGTGTTCGAAGTAGACGATTTTAAGACAGGTGAGTAAGTTAATCGGGAAGTGAGATAACACAGAAAAGGTGTTTTTCGACATGATGTTTAAAGAACGACTTGTTTACTAAAGAAATTCGTGGGTGTGACGTAGCTTGAAATCCTCTGCTTTTTGTTAAAATCGCTACAAAACATCTATCAGAGTTTGAGAACGTCTTTTCCTTTAGTTAAATTGGTGAATGTTGCGAAAGACCACGTTTTCTGTGGGATTGTTTGCGTTTTTCGTGGTTGCGTGTCAATAATTTCTTTCTCGGTCATGTGACTTTACCATTTGGTCCCGAATTGTACATGTACAAGGGTGGATGTTCTGTGGAAACCGTTAATTATCTGTTACATCTGAGTGAAAACCTATAAAGGAAATGAAGAGAGATCGTAGTAAATATATACAGAGTTAGCTGTATACATAATGTGGTTTAGGCCCTTCACGGCGCAAGATTATGGATTATGAATGACTGCTTTCGCTTTCTTCCAGTCATATGACTCGAAACAGGAAGTTTGTGATAATAACGTCTGGTTTCGGTGTCCGCGCATCAATTATTTGCATGAATTGCCGTTCAAAGGGCTGTCTTTGTCCCCATCGTGCGCATCAATAATTTGTTGTTTTACATTTTGATCCCTGGTGAAGTTTCTGAGGGTTTTATAATTTTTTAAGAATTTGTTTATCAGATAAAACATGGTTAAATTTTTAATCTATTTGGTCTATTTTGTGCCTTCGCCTTTGGTTATCTTTGGTTCTAATGATGCAAGTGCAGAGAGATTAGTTATATTAGATAAGTTATTGCAGGGGAAAAAGAGGGCAGTTATGTAAGAATGAATATTTTTCAGTTTTCCTAACTTTTTATCCATTGTTCAATGGAAGGTCACTGTAACTTATCAAAGTCCTTGTGCAAGGTTTTTTTTTAAAACAATGTAAATATTTTTATTTCACAGATGTAAAGGCCAAAGAGGAATTTGATTTCAACATTTTGACGATCCCATATTCTGTACAAGAGAGTTCCATCAGTCCAGATGATTTGTTCTCATTAGAACCTCCTTCAGCTTCATCTGATGTTATAGAGGTTCAAGATGACATCTCTACAAAAGAAGAAACAACAAATGATGAAACAGCTGAAGTAAAAGTTGAAGAAGCAGGGCAGCTTTCTAAAACTGAATCAAAGCACAAAAGCATTCCCAGAAGGTTTGTATCTTGGTTTTCCCTAGGGATTTCATCAGCAAGAGTGTAAATTGATGTGAAACAGATAGTGAAATGGTGTACAGTACTTGATTTTTACTCATTTTACACCCCCAAATTAAATCCTTTGAGTAATGAGAATGGTTTTGGAATTTGTGCTGACATTTCTTGTGTTTACAGTTTTAATCCTTTGTAAAAATATGTTTTAACTTGTAGGCATGCTGCTAAAAGGAAAAAGCGAAATGTTTGGTCCATCGTTGTGCCTGACCTCCCTGCAGTGCAGCACAAGCAGGCAAAGAAAACATCTAAAACAGTCAAAGAAAGAAAACCAAGAAGCGTCAGGAGGTGTGCTCCAAAACAGTCGTGTCTTTCCTTTGAAGAGATCATCGAATCTATCAACCACATAAAACCAGCACCATCCAAGAGGAGGAAACCCAACTCCAACTTGGGGGAACCAAAAGATTCTGGTGTTGATAGTGAAGGAAGCAGTAGTGGTAGCAGTGATGGATGCAGCAGCAACTCTGGAAGTGGCAGTGGTAGTTCATCTGGGGGGAGCAGTAGTGGTGGTGGCGGCTTTGGGGGAAAGGGAAATGCTGATGGAGATGAAGGTGATAAAAAGAAGTATCCACAGTGGTATTTTCCTGGCAAACAACAGATTGACCCACCAGGCAGAAATGAAAAGAAAAGATCTGCAGATGAAGAGAAAGATGATGAAAGTGTGGAAAAAATGGAGGAAGATTTTCCCACTACTAAGCAGTCAGGCCTCCAGATGTTCTTGCCATCCAAAGTTGATAATGCAGAACAATGTCACTGCCCTGGAGAGGAAGGAACTCATATGACCCCAACTGGAAAGGTAGTTTGCCCATTAATGTGTATTAGTACCTACTGAAGTCAATTGTTTCAGCCTAAGCTAATAGCCAGTCAATGATAATATTTTTGCCTTAAGGAAACTGGTTTAAGTTGCTATTTGTTGCATTTTATAGCATGAATGTAACTCTACCACAGACTAATCCAATTTAATTCAGTTTCAAACTTAATTGAACTCTTTATTAGAGACATGAAGAGGTTGTAATAGTCAAAGGAAATTGCAGAAACTAATGAGTTTTTATACAATGTGAAATGGCCATCCCTCTGTTCATCCTTATTGGTTAAGTATAAAGTGATTCCACTAGAAACGCAGGTGTCAATGAATGATCAACTTAGTGTTACTTTGATTTTGTTTGTGAGTGTCTGTGTGCTAAAATTCCATGGATTCATATTTTATTTGCAGAGTGACATCATCTTTTTCCCTCAAGATGTTCAGCATGCAAGTTACTGTTCGATTCCTGTTTGTCGTAACCAAAAATGCAAGAAAGTAAGTTGTGACAAGCATATTTAAATATGTCAGGTATGGCTATTTTGCAGTGAGGGTAATTAAAAAAATAGAAGAAATAGTAATTTTGTTTCTGGTTCATCAAAGTTCTTACAATGCAATTGAATGCATACTGTATTTACTCATGTATAAGTTGACCTTTTATGACCAAAGAAAATCACCCCAAAAATTCACCCTCAACTTGTACACAAGTCATACTCAAAGACCTGACCCAAGCAATCCAAGAAATTAGCAGAACAATAATTGTTTGAAGTCCGTTAGGAAAATCCAGTTTACAAAACCAGTTCTAGTTGTGTTCGAGGTTTGTCAGCTTAGTGACCTGGCAAATGCTGTTGTCTTGTGAGGTCTTGTTTGTCACACGCTATTCTTTGAAGTTCTTCAGTGTTCCTTTGTTCTACTAAATCTCCTTTCATACTCAACATTGAGATAAAGGTTAGTTAAGTGCAAGAAGATTTCAAATTCAATGTGATTTACAAAATATTGTAAGATACCTCTTTAGTAGATCAAAGTGTTGGTGTATTCTTAAATTGTGGTGATGTGAACAAGTACTAATAAACTTCATAGCACATGGTAACATTTTGCTCTGCAGTTTTTTTAGTTCTCTGTGTTTTCAATACATTCTCAGAAATAAGAGATAAACTTGTTGGGAAATTTTGCTTTGTCTGAATTTTACTTCTTTTATAAGAAATGATGAAAAATCTGATTTTTGACTTGAAAATGCCAGGTTGACTTATACACAGGTTTGACTTGTACATGAGTAAATATGATAAATGTCTTTAAAAAAAGAAAAAAATTTTAAAAATTTAAAAAAAAATAATAAATAACAATTTTGAACATTTTCCTGCAGGTGAAAATGGAGTTGGAGCACTTGCAAGTTCATAAAGACTGGCACCATTGTGGACGTTGTTTGATCACATGGAATATTGTTAAACAGCACGCACGTTTTTGCCATAGGCCAGGGTGTAGAGTTCCTGACTGTGAAAGCCTGAGGTAAGGTCAACAAGCTTTGAAAAAGAGTTAGTTGTATCTTAGATGTTGGAAGTTGCATTTGGACAAATGTTAGTGCATTTTTAATAGCCTAAGTGAGAAACCAGAGGTAAAATGACCAAGGAAGTAGATGCTGTTAAATCACTCAAAATTTTACACTGTAACAATATCAGTCTAGGGGAAATTTTCTTAACCTT